TGAAATACAAATAAGATTTTTCAAACTCTCATTTAATTTCAAAATGCGCCACTCATTTGTTAACTTTGAAACCCCTAATACTCCGATTTCAAAATTTTTAAAATACAAATAAGATTTTAATATTTCCATTTATTTCTGAATTATGCGATTTTTTAATTCTTAAGTTTTTTAATGACATAATTTTGTTAATATTAAAATGGTGACTAGTAAATTAATGGTGCTGTATAAGTTCAAACTGTCTTCACAAAATTATTTAACTATCAAACCTTCGGCAATCTACAGTTAAAAGTTAATGTGATAATGATATCTGGACGGTCAGACAGAGTTTCGGGTGGGGCTTTGACTGTAGCTTTTTTTATAAGATGATATTCTTTTCCTTAGATTTCTAAATGAAGTACAAAAAATCTTTAAATGCACGTTTTACAACGTTTTTTTTTTCTTAGTAAACGCACACTCTATAGGATTTTAAAGTTTGATTCTGATCAACTCGACCGCAGGAGTCTAGTTTTAATCGTGCAAAGTTCCGTAGTCCATAAATGGTTAAAAAGGTAAATTTCTAAAGCCACATTACGGCGCATTTTTATACTTCCATAAGTTTATGACACAGCATATAATGCATATGCTTAGTGTGAGTCAACGTGAATATATTTAACATTAAGAGATATACCATCAACAGATCGATTTTAAAATAAATTTTATAGCGATAGGGCACAGGTGTGGCACGATAGCTACATTAGTTTTATTCGATTTGGCGTTCATTTAGTATATGTTGATACGTAATCATTATTAATAATCACAATTATTCAATAGTAATTCGGGCTTCTTAATTTAGGATCAATTCCAAAAAGTCGCAGTAATGATTAGTAATGATTTTCATTTCATTGTATTAATGATTATTTAATTAATTGTTAAATAGCTACCAAATGCATTTTGTGTATATTATTGTAATGTATGACTTTTCCGCTTTGTTAAAATAATTAATTATAGCAATCATTTAACTGTTCAGCTAGTAGTATCTTATTTCCTTATAAATATTCATTCAGTTCAACTTTTGACAATATGTTGTTTGGACGACAATCATTCAAATACGTCAAAATCATAATGAAAACCAGACATTTTTGTTATTGCAATCTTCAGCAATTTTACTTTTGCTACGATATCTCTTAATTTAAAAAGAGACGATCGAATTAGTCGCACTTCTCCCACCAACCAAAAATATGCCAACAGCTCATTTTTGGTGAAAAAGGCTCTTACCTGTCCAAGTGGATCTCATCTATATCCAGATAGTAAGTCATGTTGTTCTGATGGTTATTTTTGCTGTTTAGATAGCGAAGGAGGGTGTTGTCCAAATGGTTCAACATGCTTACCTAATTTCAAATGCAGCAAACTTTACAGAAACTTTGATTTTTTAAAAATATGTTTGATATATAGAATAGGTTCAGATAGCGAAGGAGGGTGTTGTCCAAATGGTTCAACATGCTTACCTAATTTCAAATGCAGCAAACTTTACAGAAACTTTGATTTTTTAAAAATATGTTTGATATATAATAGTAAGTCCTGTTAACTATCTTGTAAGAAACTTATTTTAACTAATAAATAGCTATTAAACATATTATAAATATATTAAAATATATTATAAATATATTATAAACAAATTTTAAATAGATTATAAATATATTATAACTAATTTTTAATTATATTATAAATATATTATAAACAGATTTTAAATATATTTTAAATAAACTTTAAATATATTACAAAAATATATTTTAAAAAGACATTAAAATTTTAAAAAAATTATAAGTATTATAAATAAATTTTAAATATATTATAAACAGATTTAAATATATTATTAACAGATTTAAATATATTATCAACAAATTTAAATATATTATAAATAAGAATTTAAATATATTATAAACAGATTACATCAATATTATAAATATATATATATTAAAAAATAACAACAAATATATTTTTTTATTTTACATCTTACATTAAAAAAAACCAAATATATAATACTACTATTTATAAGAGATGAATTTTTTATATCATCCAAATTATATAGTATGTTCTATTAGTGTTTCCATCGCAAATTCTTGGAAATAAATAAATTCCTTATGTTCATCCTTTTTAGCTATAATTCCTTCATCATAACAATATCGAACATTAGGCATCTCACTAGCATTACTTATCTCTGCGGATGTTAGATAATAAATGATTGCTCTAGTTCATCTTTTTTAACTCCATTTCCATTAAACAACAATTTCATACCCGGGCTTATATATTCCATTAACATTTCCCATATCTGAAAACGAATGAATGCCCTATATTCATTCTTTTCAATTCCAATTCCGTTGTCATAATAATATCGAACATTAAATGTCCCACTAACGTCGCCCACCTCTGCTAAATATTGATAATAAATAAATAGTTTACATTCATCCTTTCAACTCCAATTCTATTAAATTAATAACAATCGCTTACCTGGATAATATCTATTAGCGTCCCCATCTTTGATGCCTTATGTTTATCTTTTTAAACTATAATTCCTTCGTCATAACAATATCGAACATTAGACATCCCACTAGCATCACTCATATCTGCAAATTTAGATAATAAATGATTGTTTTAGTTCATCCTTTTCAACTCCAATTCCATCAAACAATAATTTCGAATCCGGGCTTATATATTCCATAAGCGTTCCCATCTCTGAAACCGAATGAATGCCCTATGTTCATCCTTTTCAACTCCAATTCCTTTGTCATAATAATATCGAACATTAAATACACTTTACTCTGGATATATCGACAATTTTTTTTCATTAATAAAAATTCAAAATGTCGATATAGTGAGTTATACTGACATTTTATATAAAAAATGTCGATATAGAAAGATTTTACTATGATGTCGTTTAGTGATGCCGACATAACGTTTTAACGTTACTATGTTTTGGGTTTTGTCACATGATAAAACTAACATTAATATAAATTGTAGGTTAAAACCGTTAAAATAAAAACGTTAAAACTATCTTCCTCTACTAAAGTTGGATTCTTCGTCACGGTTTTTTTATGTTGACAAAAAAAAACCGTGTATTTTTTATATTTAACAGGATCCCGCATAAGGGGTCCTGTTTAAAAATATAAATAAACACAGG